TGGGACTAGAACTCCCACTCTCCTGGTGATTGGGTCAAAGTCACCCAATCAGCTTTCACACCAAGGTGGGTCTAGAACCCAAAGTCTCTTGGTGATTGGCCAGCCAGCTTTCATGCCTAAAGAAGAGCAAGAATTTATAATCTCCTGTTTCCTAGCCCAGTGCCTTAACCACTAGACCAAAATGGCTCTTTGTTTTTCTTTTCTTTTTCTTTGTCTCGTCTTGCCCTTTTTCCTCTCTTTTCTTTTTTTCTTTTCTTTTGTTTCCTTTCGCCTTCCCTTCCCTCCTTCCCTTCCTTTTCTTTTCTTCTTTCCTTTTTTGTCAGATTGGGCTAAGGGAGGGGACTGACCGAAAGGCACTGTGAAAGTTTCTGTGGCCAAGGGAGGTCTGGACCTTGGATCTCCCCAGTACAATACCTTCACCGCTACCTATACCTTGTCCTTGATTTAATAATCATTCCTCTAGCATTCCATTCAAAACCATTCCAAGTGAAAAAATGGTCTTCACACTTCCAACCCTTATAGCATCCCCAGGATCACGCGATAAAAATCCGGGCACTTGGCACATGGTGTTTATGACTGTTGCAGCGCCCCGCCGTCCTTTGAGCACCATTTATGACCTTCCCAGTCGACTCCCAATAAGCAAAGTCAACCGGGGAGGGGGGAAAGCAAAATGTTCCCCCTAACGACTGCGTGGTCCAGTTAACTATAGTGGCTTGGTTAACAGCCATGGCAAGAAAGGTTGTAAAATGGGACACGACTCACTTGACAAAACATTCTGGCTTAGAAGCAGACATGCTAGCCTCAACTGGCGCCGTAAGCCGAGGACCGCCTGGCCCAATTTTTCCTTGGAGAGCCCGAAGGATAACGTTCTCACTAGTTGCAAATCCTGTGTTAGCATTAAAATAGCTGATGAGAATCTTCCTTAAGCTGAGAGATTATTTATTAAGAAAATGTATGTGAAACGCCCAACTCTCTCCGACTCCAGCTTCTCCTTTTGTCTATGTATTCAAAATGGATAGTGATTAACATTTATATGTGTGGGTCTAGGAATATAATATGTATATATGTCTATGTCTATATATGTGTATATAAGTCTCTCTCTCTCTCTCTCTCTGTCTCTCTGTCTCCCTTTCTCTCTGCCCCCGCTCTCTCTCGTCTCATCTCTCTCTCTCTTTCTCTCTCCTTCTTCCTCTCTGTTTCTCTCTCTCTGTCTATCTCTATCTGTCTCTCTGTCTCTTTCTCTCTCTCTCCCTTTCTCTCTGCCCCCCCTCGTCTCGTCTCGTCTCTCTCTCTCTCTCTCTCTATTTCTCTATCTATCTCTATCTCCCTCTCTATCTCTATCTCCCTCTCTGTCTCTCTCTCTGTCTCCCTTTCTCTCTGCCCCCCTCTTTCTCTCATCTCGTCTCTCTCTCTCTCTCTCTCCCTCTTCCTCTCTGTCTATTTCTCTCTGTCTATCTCTATCTCCCTCTCTGTCTCTTTCTCTCTCTCTGTCTCTCTCTTTCTCTCTCTGCGTGTCTCTGTCTATATATGTATGTATGTATGTATGTATAGCATGTCTACACGGGTAATCCTCTACTTACAACCACAACTGAGGCCGAAATTTCTGTTGTTAAGTGAGAAATTTGTTAAATGAGTTTTGCCCCATTTTGCCACCGTTGTTAAAGTGAATCATTGCAGTCAATAAGTTCGTAATCTGGTCAAGTGAACCTGGCTTCCCCGTTGACTTTGGTTGTCACAAACGGTCATTGACATGATCTCGGGACACAGTAACGTGTTATAAGTCTGAATCCGTTGACAAGCATCTGAATTTTGATCACGCGATGGTGGGGTTGCTGCAAAGGTTGGTAACTCTGAAAAACGGTTCTAAGTCACATTTTTTTTCCAGTGTCATGGTAACTTTTGCACAGTCACTAAATGAACTGTTGCAAGTCAATTACCTATATGTGTGTTAGGTAAGTGTACACTTTTGAGAGCGGACAACAGAATTTCATTTTTAATGTGTGCCAGTGTGCCCAGAGTAAAAAAAAACAAGAACAACAGTATAGGTTATCCCCAAAGTGCTTTTTTCAAGAGGCAACTGGACTTTCTGGATTTTCTTTGAAGATGTTTCGCTTCTCATTCAAGAAATTTCTTCAGCTCTGACTGGACAGTGGGGAAAAGAAGGATCACCATCCAGTCAGAGCTGAAGAAGCTTCTTGCATGAGAACCGAAATGTCTTCAAACAAAATCCAGAAATATCAGCATTCCAAAATCAAACGCCAACCCAACACACTTCAGGGCAAACATTTTCTTGAAGTTCCATTTTATTGGAGTTGTCACATCTGAGAAAACCCAAATCCGAGAGTTCTGGGTTCTCCCTCCCCAATAGAAAGTCAAAGATCCAACCCCTGCACCCACCAGTCCATCACATGGTCCAATCAAGCACCTCCCACCTGGAGGCAATCCTTGAGCCACTCCTTTCCAGGTGCAGAGTAACTTGTCCTTGACTTCTAGAGAAGAATGTTGTGTCTAATCTTCTACCTCTCTACGAAATCCCCCCTCCCAATTTCCCGGGAGAGGGGGAAATGTGGCAGCCTCGAAGCTTCTAAGTAAAATATGGCTTCCTTGGCTGACAGTCCAGTTGCCTCTTGAAAAAAGCACCTTTGGGACAACCGCGACTTGGATGACTGAGAATCTCCATAGTGTCAGGGTTCCGGCAATTGCCCTCATTAAATCGTGAGCCTCTAAGCCAAGCTTCAAACGAATCCAAAAGATTTATTAGGAGCAACATGCCGACATTAGCCTAAATGAAGCTAACTCTGGAATAAGTAATTCACAGTCACCTGTGACCCTGTTTCTCTCCTCCCCCCCGGTTTGTCATAAATCAGATTTTCCAATGAAGCACTTTCGGGCCGGGTGTCCTCAATCACATTCTCCAATTAAGGATTATCAATGCCAGAAGATCTGGTAGCCTAGCTAAAATCTTTTTTAAGATAAGGGTGGAAAGTACTTCTGGTTTTAAACTGCCGTATGCTGAGTCATAAATGTGACTCAGATGCCATGCTCTTCAGGTCTTTGCAAAAGTACCGTCAAAGTGGGGTTGGATGGAGGGGTGGGCAGTCTTCTCTCTACAAGGATGATGTTCTTCAGAGAAGGAGCCACCACTAAGAAGGCCGTTCTTGGTCCCGCTAGATCAGGTGTGTCAAAGACAGGGCCCGCAATAGGTCCCAAAGTGGCCCCCGTGTGGCTGTCCTGGAAATGGCGAGGGACCGTCCCCTGCTGCCCCGGGCCTGGCCACGCCCACCCCGGCACCTCAAGGGCAAACAAAATCCCAACACGGCCCACAACGGGATTGTGTTTGACACCCTTGCACTAAATGGACTCTCTTAGGAGAGGAGAGGCAAGCATAAAATCCCCTTCCCACTCAGATGGGTTGGGCAGGTAATGCCTGGGAAAAGCTGGCCCTTCAAACCTCAGGCAGCCCTCAGCTTAATGACCACAATTGTGTCCCAAAAGATCTGTTGCTAAGCGAGAGCGTTAAGTGAATTTTGGCCCATTTTATGACCTTTCTCGCCACTGTTGTGAAGAGAATCCCTGCAGTTGTTCAGTTAAGTTACCCGGTCGTTAAAGTGAATCTGGCTTCCCCATTGACTCTGCTTGTCAGACAGTCGCGAAAGAGGATCGCGTGGCCGCCGAGGATGCTGCAGCCGTCATAAGTGTGACTCGGATGCCAAGCGCCTGGATTTTGATCCCACGGCCATGGGGGTGGTGCAGCGGTCATAAGTGTGAAAAACACTCCTAAGTCCCTCGTTTTCAATGCTGTGGTAACTTTTAAACGGTCAGTAAAGGAACTGGGTGTAAGTTTAGAACCATCTGTACTTCATCCAAAGCCATTGGGTCCTTCCACAAAGAAAGAGAAAAATATTGGCAATATTTTCAAGGGTTTATTCTAAGAAGCAACGATGCTGGGTCAATTAAACCAGGAAAATAAAAGATTTGAGATTTTGAGGGATGGTAGTTTTGATCCAGAAAATTTTGAAGAAACGCTTGTCCAAAAAAGTCGTGCTTTTTCGTTGGTTGGAAAAAAACAGAGAAGGAAAGCAAAAATAATTGCCCCCCCCCCCCCCCCCAAAAAAAAGGTGGCAGAAAGAAATTACTTGCCTGTTCTCCTGCCTTTCTTCTTAGCAGGATTGTTGTTGTTTTTGCAGTTTTTATTATGTCTTTTAAAAAATATAATACATGTAGTCCTTGGCTAGCACTAATGATGTTACCTAGTTGGGTCATGAAATGTCTGCAAGACAACAAGCAAGCTCAGAGGACTCCTCTTCCTCCACCACCACTTCCTCTCCAAATATCTCACTCCCTTCTAACGCTGATGAGGTTACCTAGTTGGGTCATGAAACGTCCCTAAGAAAACCACCAAGCTCAGAGATCACCAAGGACCCCATTGGTCTCCTCCTTCTCCACCTCTTGTCCGTTTATATACTAGTGGCTTGACCACCAACACTGCCAGGACAAGCCACTAATATACAAAGGATGAGCAAATCCCATTCCCTTCTAGCACTGATGATGTTCCCTAGTTTGGTAATGAAACGTCTGCAAGAAAACCATCAGGCTCAGAGAGCACCAAGGACCTCACACTCCTCCTCCTCTCCACATACCTCTGCCCCTCTAGCACTGATGATGTTACCTAGTTAGGTCATGAAACGTCTGCAAGAAAACAAGTGAGTTCAGAGAGCACCGAGGACCCCTCAGTCCTTGACTTCCGACCACAATTGAGCCCAAAGCTTCTGTTTCGTTACCCAACTAGGTAACATCATAGAAGGGACCGTGATGGAGTTTTGCCCCATTTTACAACCTTTCTTGCCACCGTTGTTAAGTGAATCCCCGCAATTGTGAAGTAACACGGTTGTGTGAAGTGAATCCAGCTTCCCTCTTGCCTTCGCTCGTCAGGAGATCGCAAAAGGAGATCATGTGACCCTGGGACACTGCGACCGTCATAAATGTGACTCAGTTGCCAAGCGTCTGAAGTTTGACCCCCAGGCATGTGGGGAATGCTCTAATGGTCGTAAATGTGAAAAGCAGTCCTAAGTCCCTTTTTCACTGCCACTGTAACTTTGAGTACTCAGTGAATAAACGGTTGTAAGTAGAGGACCGCCTATAATTAAGTCCTAAAACCGCTGATAAAAGTTGTTTGTCCTGAAAGACTAACCATAAACTATTATGTGATTATTCTCCCTCATTAATTTTATTGTTTTATTTATGAGGTTTTTATATTTCTGTAAGCTGCCTTTTGAGTTGCCATGTGTGAATAGACGGCCATATAAATTTCCTAAAATAAAATATTTTTTTTAAAAAAAACTAGAACACATTTAGCTTGGGGGAAATTAAAAGAACTTGGTAAAAGATCTAGGCATTAAGTACATTGAGAAAAGAGGAGGAAGAAAAACAGATTGTCCTCAACTTATGACCACAATTGAGGGCCAGATTTCTGTTGCTAAGCGAGATATTTGTCCTATTATACACCCTTTCTTCCCCACAGCTGTTAAGCGAATCGCTACAGCTAATACCTTGTTTGCCCAAAAATAAGACCTTGTCTTCTTCTCCTTCTCCTTATTGTTATTATTATTATTATTATACACAAAAACAACAGTGTACACAGCAAATGAGATGACTATGCTGGGTTTCGTATCACAAATCACTAATCGAACACTTCGCAAGCGTTTAGGACTGCGTGATGTATCGGCAGATTATGTGAGCAGATCCTAGTAAGGTGAGACTTCTGTAGCTGACCAATGGTGATTTTCTCAGCGCCAATTGTTTCGAAGTGCTTGCTTAGGTCTTTAGGACAGCACCTAGTGCTCTGAGTACCTCTGGAACCACATTATTATTATTATTATTATTATTATTATTATTATTATTATTATTATTTTTTAATCTTTGGTGAGATTCACAGCCTTTGGGGCTAGTTGGTAGCTTAACAACTCGAGTCCGAACTAAGGACCTAGGAACTGTTCAGGTAGCATCAGAGGATATAAGCTGATATATTGATGGTGATGATGATGATTTTTATTATTTGCCACCCAAAAAGGCACCAGGTCTTATTTTGGGGGCATGTCATCCACTGACCAACCTCCCTTGCGCGCGTCGCCCCCTGGCCTCCTTTTTGCTGTCAGAGGCCTTCAGGAACTTCTTCTGCCACCAGCAAGGCTTTCCTGAAGGACTCTGCAACCGATAACAGAGCTTGGATCGATCCTGAGCTTTGGTATGAGCTCCAGAGGCCTTCAGAAAAGCCTTGAAAGCCTTGCCGGCTGCTGAAGAAACGGGCCGGCAAGGCAGGTATCGGGGTGTGCGAGGCCTGGCTACAACTGTGCAAAGGTAAGTAGAAAGGCAGCTCCACCATCCCTATCCCCACCCTAGCTTAATTTTCACCCATCCACTCTGAAGTGGGCGGGATATTAATTAGGGCTTATTTTGAGGGGTAGGGCTTATATTCGGCACAAGCTAGGACTTATGTTCAGGGTAGGTCTTACTTTCGGGTAACTGGTAATTCAGTAGCATGGTTGCTAATTGAATCCAGCTTCCTCGTTGACTTCACTCATCAGAAGGTCACAAAAGAGGATCATGTGACCTCCGGGACACAGCGAGCGTCATAAATATGAACTGGTTTACCAAACAGCTGAATTTTGATCATGTGACCATGGGGAATGCAGCAACCGTCGTTAAATGTGAAAAACAGCTTTTTTCCAGTGCCATTGCAATTTTGCATAGTCACTAAACGGACTGTTGTAAACCAAACATGGCCTGAACCGATATAATTTTTTTGCAATCCCCTCTGGCGATCTTCGTGGTGAGCCAAGCCAATGGAGAAGCCCATACTCGCTTAATGACCAGGTTACAAACTCATCAACCGCCATGATTCACTTAACAGCTGTGGTGAGAAAAGTTGTCAAACAGGAGGCAAAACTTGTTTTACAGATGTCTCACTCAGCAACAAAAATATTGGGCTCGATCCTGGTCATGAGTCGAGGATTACCTGTAAGGTACAGGTAATCCTCGACGTGCAACAGTTCATTTAGCAACCATCATGGTCACAAGTCGAGGATTACGTATATTTTATGTGTAAGCTCCCCCCCCACACCAGAGTTACCTCGTCGTAAGATGAGCAGCCAATAAATTTTATATAAAATAATAATAACAAACGAATGTTTTGTTCTTTCACCAGGCAAAAGCTGTGTCATCTCGCGCAAGAGGGATGAATCAGATGAAGAGGAAACCCGGAAACCGGAAGAGCACCTTTCTCGGGTCAGGCAGGTAAATGACAGGTGTCGGGACGGGAGGGTTCAGCCAGGGCGGACACCCATGTGCCTCTGAAGAGGGAGACGGAAGGGGCCGATGGGCGAGGTGATCGGCATGTTTGAATAAAGGTTTTTCTGGGCACATTTGGGAAGCCGTCGAGTGATTTCCCCATTATTATTATTATTATTATTATTATTTTCATCCTTTTGTGCTTTTCTACAGCCAAGAACAGCAGCTTAACACACTTGTTTTCCTTTAATTCCTCTTTGAATATAGGTGACAATTGGTACCGCTTATTATTCGGGGTGGGTGGCTGGCTGGCTGGCTGGCTGGCTGGCTGCTGGATGTTGGCGGTTTGGGCTGCAGGGGGATTATTGGCTGCTAAAAGAAGCTTTATAAATGGTCACTCCGACGCATCATAGCATAGGATAGAAAATAATAGAAAATATAGCATAGAATAGAAAATTATAAAAAATAGAAAGAATAGAATATAGAACAGAAGAGAAGATAGGAGAGAAGATAGAATAGAATAGAACAAAGAATAGGAATAGAATAGAATAGAATAGAATAGAATAGAATAGAATAGAATAGAATAGAATAGAATAGAATAGAATAGAACAGCAGAATTGGAAGGGACCTTGGAGGTCTTCTACTCCAACCCCCTGCTTAGGCAGGAAACCCGATACCACTTTAGACAAATGGTTCTCTTCTTAAAAACTTCCAGCGTTGGAGCCTCCACAACATCTAGTGGCAGGTTGTTCCACTGATTAATTGTTCTAACTATCAGGAAATTTCTCCTTAGTTCTAGGTTGCTTCTCTCCTTGATTGGTTTCCATCTGCTGCTTCAGGTGCTCTGGAGATAGGTTGGCCCCCACCCACCCCTCGTCTTTGTGGCAGCCCCTCAAATATTGGAAGGTGGTATCATGTCTCCCCTAGTCCTTCTTTTCATCAAACTAGACATCCCCAGTTCCAGCAACCTTTATATGTTTAGCCTCCAGCCCCCTGATCATCTTGGTTGCTCTTCTCTGCACTCTTTCTAGAGTCTCAACATCTGTCATGGTACAGGGGAATGATTGAGTCTGTCACCTGCACCTCTGTAACTGTCTGGTTTGGCTCTGCGACCAAACAGGACAGACAAAGACTTCAGCTGATAGTTAGGACTGCAGAAAAAAACAAAAAAAACAAATTGCAACCAGCCTGCCTTCCATTGAGGATCTATATATTCTATACGTCAGAAAGAGGGCTGAGAAAATATCCCGTCATATCTTGGACATAAACTGTCCCAACTTATTCCCTCGAGATGACACTGTGGGGTATCGCACACCAAAAACAACTAGACACATGTTTTTCCCCCATGCCATCACTCTGCTAGACAAACTGAGGAATACTTAGTAGGGCTGCGTTACTATTGTCCTTCTCCTATTTCCTACGACTTATTTCCTTATCTTCTTAGGACTATAATTTATAGCTTACGATTTATATAGCTTATGATTTATAGCTTACAATTTATATTACAGGTAGTCATCAACTTACAACACTTCATTTAGTGACCGTTGAAAATTACAATGCTACTGAAAAAAGGGGATTTGTGAGCCTTTTTTACACTTAGGATCTTTGCCGCATCCCTTGTTGTAAGTCAAGGACTACTATATATTTAGCCATGCTATATGGTTGTAGTAGTAGTATTATCCTTCTCACCTTCTCTACTACCCCTCTTTATCAGAATCATTATTATGATTGTTGTTACTCTTCTGCTTTGCATATACAGGTTAGTCCTCGACTTACAACAGTTCATTTAGTGATGGTTCAAAGTTACAACATCACTGTCAAAAGTGACTTAGGGACACTTTTCAAACTTACAACCATTGCAGCATTCCCCACGGTCACCATGATCAAAATTCAGACGCTTGGCAACTGACTCATATTTATGACGGTCGCAGCGCCGGGGGTGGGTGGGTGTCACACGATTCCCTTTTGCGACCTCCATCCGAGCAAAGTCAGTGGGGAAGCCCAATTTATTTAACAACTAACTGCGTTACTAATTTACCAACCACAAGGATTCGCTTAATCCCTGTGGCCAGCGAAGCCGTAAAACGGGGCAAAACTCACTTGGCCACAGAAATTTGGGGCTTGATTGTGGTCATATGTTGAGAGCTTTTGCATCCGAGACAAATCCCTCGTTATGTCTAATCACCCTTGGGCAATTAATACTGCTTTATTGGCCAAGTATGATTAGACACAAGCGGTTTCCCAAACCTTTCCAGATTGGCGGGAGAAGCGATGGGTCCACTTGAGCGGCCAGCAAGCGCACTCATGCAGATCCATTTTTGCAAGCATCAAAGACACAAACAGCCACTGCTCTGCTCGTGCACAGGTCACGCAGGTGGGGATGGACCGACGTTTCTGCAGCCCACTTGCAAACAGTCTCGTGCTCAGTAGCGGGCCATGGCCTCTGAGTTGGGGACCCCGCCATAAAGTAATCTATTCTACCCTTCTCCTTTAGGCCAGAGCAGTGAAGACCGCAGGAGGCGGCCATGCGCTGGTGAGCGAAGAGCGGGAAACTTCCCTTCGAAGTCGGAGAGCTGCTCAGCGGGTGCCTGTCAAAGAGGAGGAGGAAGAGGAGGAGGAGGAAGAAGAGGAGGAGGAGGAAGAAGAAGAGGAGGAGGAGGAGGAAGATGCGCCGCCTTTGCTGGTCGGCCAGACGCCCATGAGGCCTGAGGAGCCGGGCATGCCAGCTCCCCAAGAGACGGGCATGTTCCAAGCTTCCCTGCCCTTCGTCCTGCAAGCCCAGCAAACAGAGGCTCGCTCTCAGATGCCAGACAGCCCGAGCGGCGAAGCCGCCATGCCAGTCCTCGCACACTTGCAGAGATCAGAAGACGAGGAGGCTCAGCCCTGGGCAACAGACCCCGGGGAAAAGCAACAGGCAACTCTAACCCCAGGGGAATCCCCCATGGAAAAGGAGCCCCTCCCAGATACCCCAAAGGAGGTTTCACCCCAGTTACCCGAAGCCTTAAAATTGGAGTCCGAAGAAGACCCAGGCCTTCTGAAGGAGCCGAAGTTGACCGAAACTCTCCAGGAGAAGGAGGAGGTGATGATGGAGCAGGCCGAGACCCCAGCGGCTGTTGTCTTGGAGAAGGAGGGCGATCCCCAGAACAAGGGGACCCCAGAAGCAGTGGCAACCCAGGCACTGCGCAGCCTAGAGGAAGAGGCATCTGCTGCCGCTGCAGCGCTAGTACAGGCCTCTCCCTCTCCCCCGCAGCTGATCGAAGCACAACAGTCGCAACAGGATCCCCGGGGGGATGAGCTGCCTCTGCCGCTCCTGACCAAGGAAGCCCCCGCGGGACTCGCTCCCGTGGAAGACGAAGCCCCTCCTCAGCTCTCTCAGCCATCGCCCCCCGCTCAGGAAGCACCGGCTGCAGCCAGCCTCGGAACCTCGCCATCCCCCTTGGCACTCCCGCCACACCAGCCCTTACGGCCCGGCAGCTCCCGCTCCTCTTCCTCCTCCTCCTCCAGCTCCTCTCGTTCCCGCTCCCGGGGCAGCTCACCATTACGCTCCCGGGCTAGGAGGACCCGCTCCGCTTCCTCCGAATCACCTGCTCGGAAACGACCAGCTTTGGAACTACGATCCCGCTCCAACTCAGAGCAGCGTAGCAGTTCGGGCTCCCAGTCCCGTTCCAGCAGCAGAGGCAGCAGCAGCAGCAAGGTGAGTGGGTTCGGGAGTGGTGTCTTTACAGACCAAGTTGGGAAATTTAACAGGTGGTCCTCGACTTACAACAGTTCCGTTAGCGACTGTTCAGAGTTAACAGCCCTGAAAAAAAGTGACTCATGATAGTTTTTCACACCATTGCAGCATCCCCACAGTCACATTTTCAAAAAGGTAGATAGGTAAATAAGCAGAGATGGATGGATAATGGATGGATGGGTAGGTAGGTAGGTAGATAGATAGATAATTAGATGATAGATGATAAATAGGTAGATAGATGATGGATAGTTGGATGATAGATGATATAGACAGACAGACAGACAGACAAGACAGACATAGATAGATAATTAGATGATAAGAGATGATAAATAGGTAGATAGATGATAGATAGTTGGATGATAGATGATATAGATAGATAGATAGATAGATAGATAGATAGATAGATAATGTCAAGATAGGTGATAGAAAGACAGACAGACAGACAGAGTAGATGATAGATTAGATGATACGTACAGATAGATTGAATAATTTTCGCCCCAAATGTTTTTTATTTTATTTTAAAACATACAATCCATTTTCCATTTAAACTGTGTGTCACCTGGGTACAAATTTCTTGTACAATAACAATTACAATTTACATATATTCATTGTATTGGTATTAATTCTCTATTCTTACTTAATACTGATATACGTAATACATCTAATTGTAATAATCCTCCCTATCTTAACATTTTAACTGTATTAACGTATTTTCTATACTTTACTCATCTTTTAAAATTTCTAATTCCCATATTTATTCTCCAACTATCGATAAAAAGATTCCCATATTAAATAGTATTCATTTTGTTCTTTCTCTTCAATTACAAGCGTTAGCCTATTCATCTCTGCACATTCTAAAATTTTCCTAATCACCTTCTCATCCATAGATAGAATAACTTTATTGTCACTTTGAATATCCACTAATCGGCGTACATTAAAATGAAATTTTTATGCATCCAGTTCTCAAAGGATCACCACCTCCAATATACACCTTATAAACATGACAGAATAAATAAATAAATACAAAACTACACAAATACGTATATCATGACACATGATCTTTTCCCATGCATTCAGGTTTTTTTTCCAGCTTGCTATATATTGCTTACAGGTGTTTTTCCAAGTTTTCCGTAGCTTTACAGCTAGTCCTCAACTTACAATGGTTTGCTTAGTGACCGGGGTCACGTGATTCCCGTTTTGCGAACTTCTGATGAGTGAAGTCAATGGGGAAAGCCTGATACACTTAACAGCCGGGTTACTAGTTAAATAACTGCAAGGGTTCAATTAACAAATGTGGCAGGAAAGGTCGAAAAATGGGTCAAAACTCACTTAGCAAATCTTTCACTCGACATAAAATTTGGGGCTCAGTTATGGTCGTAAGCCGAGGACTACCGGTGTAGACATGCTATATACCGGGCATACACTCAGTGAACAGAAATTTGGTGCCCAATTATGGTCATTAAGTCGAGGATGAGCTGTATAAGCATAGCTGTTTGCTAGCAATGGCCTGTTTTGAACCCAGTGCCTAGAGTTAGGGGCTTTTAAATCAGAGCTGCAGGAGCCTTGTGGGACGTTGCCACTTGAGCAAGGCTGTGTCAAACGTTTTCTGAAAATAAATACATGTATTTCCGGCTCAGAACAAGTTGACTTTTTTTCAGGGGATAATGAGAACACTTGACGTAAAGAAATCAGGTTTTAGGCACCTTCCTGCTTGTTTCTAGAGGAGCGTTTTCAAGTTTTGTATCTTTTAAAAAAAAGATACATTTCAAAGCTTGCCCCAAAAAAGGGAAATGAGGCAGGGAGTTTGGTTTAAAGCACTTCAGGGTGCTTTGTTTTTTTAAAAAAAAACACCAATTTTTTTCAGTGTATTGTTGTACAATTTGAGAGATGCTATCCCTCCAGTTGTTTGTCCATAAGTGTCTTCAAAGCCAACGAATTTCATAAAAAGACTATAAATATATCCAGAATTTATAAAATCCAGCAGCTTTTTTTTTTTAAAAAGGCATCTTCATTTAATTGCTTGGCATCGATCTTTTGAAAGTAAAGAAACTGCAGAGGTCTTTATAGGATATGTCTTCTGTGTGAAAAGTGTTTGGTCAGGCAGCGGAAACTGTATAAATTCGATGAAAACATTTAAAAACGTACATTTTCCTCCTTGAAAACAACAATTCTTTCTCTAATGTTTCCTTGAAAATAAGACCCAACTGGAAAATAAGCCTTCAGGATGCTCGTGATATAAGCCCAACCCTAAAAATAAGCCCCAGTTAAGATTGTCAGTCAGAGAAACACATTTAGAACTATATTTCCCTGAAAATAAGACCTAAGTAGAAAATAAGACCTAAAGTGTCCTTTGGAGCAAAAATTAATATAAAACCCTGCCTTATTTTCGGGGAAACACAGTATGTAGATTTTCAGTAGCAAATCCATAGAATTAATCCAATAGTTTGTGAGGTCCCTGTTGCTGTCTGAGTTTGGTGGTTTTCTTGCAGATGTTTCATGACCCAACTAGGTAACATCATCAATGCTAGAAGGGAGTGGGGTTTGTGAAAATGAGGAGGATGACTACGGGGTCCTTTTCTATGGGGAAATTCATAGAATTAATCCTATATTCTGGGAGATCCCTGCTGCTCTCTGAGCGTGGTAGTTTCATGACCAAACTAGGTAGCATCATCAAGGCTCAGGGTGGATAAAAATTGACTTTTTTTAAAAAAAAATGATTTTTAAAAATTTAAATCAGTTTTTTTTAAATTTAAATCGGATTTTTATTGAATTTATTTTAATAAAATGCTTTTGGAATAAAAAGCTATCTAAAGATAGTTCTCTATTTGAGATACATTCATAATTGAGCTTGTTCAGCATGCAATAGTAATGTAACATGAGGCTGTATATAGTCTGCAATATTTATATTTTTGGTAAACTCATTCCACAAGTCCAAGCTCTACAAGCTAACAGGCACTACCTTGATGCATTCACACAATTTCACAGCAGGGATGACAATTACTCTTTAAAAATTATGTTTTAAATTGTGTTGATTTAACCCGAGCCTTTTTACTAGTGATTTAAATCGTGATTTAAGTCGACTTGATTTAAATCAAGTCCGCCCTGTCAGTGCTGACATGATGTTAGTCCTGGCACTGAGGACGTTACCTAGTTTGGTTATGAAACGTCTGCAAGAAAACCACCCAGCTCAGAGACTACCAGGGACCCCCACCGTTCACCCCTGAGCTACATAACACAGGTAGTCCTTGACATGCGACCACAACTGAGCCCAAAATTTCCATCGCTAAGTGAGACAGCTGTTAAGTGAATTGTGCCCCATTTTATGGCTTTTCTTGCCACGGTTGTTAAGTGTGAATCATTGCAGTTCTTAAGTTAGCAACACTGTTAACTAGGCCGATCTGGTTTCCCCCAGAAGGTCGCAAAGAGATCACACGAACCGTCAGAAATATGAGTCCGTTGTCAAGCGTCTGATCGCATGATCGTGGGGACGTTGCAATGGTCGTACATGTGAAAAATGGTCCTGAGTCACTTTTTTTCAGGGCCATTGTAACTTTGAACGTTCACTAAATGAACTGTTGTAGGTTGAAGGCTACCTGAATTCTTCTATAGGAAATGAAGGAATAAATGAATGAATGAATGAATGAATAAAGAAAGGAGGGCGAAGAGAGAGTGGAAGGAAGGGAGGGAGTGGAGAAAGGAATGAAGATAAAAGAAGGGAGTGAGGAGATAAAGGAAGGATGGGGAGGATGAAAGACAGGAGAGAAAGGAAAGGAGGTAGGAAGGAAGGGGAGGAAGAAACGAGAGAGAGAAAGGAATGAAAGAGAAAGGAAGGGAGGTAGGAAGAAAGGAGGGAGAAGAAGGAAGGAGAGAAAGGAATGAAGGAGAGAAAGGGGAAGAAGAGAAAGAAAGGAGAAAGAAAGAAAGAAAGAAAGAAAGAAAGAAAGAAAGAAAGAAAGAAAGAAAGAAAGAAAGAAAGAAAGACCTATATTTCACCTTAACCAGCCTTTTTGGAGAACACTGGGAGAACCAAGAAGTGCCAAAAATTCTGTTTTTCTTTTTTTCTTTTCCAGTCCCGCAGCCGTGAAGCTTCGCGGGACAGCACCAGTTTTCCCCCCACCAAAGAGCCCTCCCCACCCCACAGCCCCAAGGCCCAGCCCCAAGAGATTCTCTCCAGCTCCAGGGACAAAGAAGGAAGCACCCTCTCCCCTCCTCCGAGGCCACACAGCCATACCCCACAACAGCAACCACCAGCATGCAGCATGCAGGCCGAGACCACATTACCAGAACGAGTACGGGGGCATTCCGGGGGTGGGGTGTCTCCTCCTTGGGGTTCCCAGCTCTGCTTCAGCTTAGAATTTGGGGTGGTGGTGGTGGTGGCAGTCAGGAGACCCGTCCCTGTGGCCCCTTCCTGCTAAATTAACCCTTTCCCCCACAGGGCAGCCCAGAGCCCCTCTTTCCCACGGAGGAGGGGTCTGGCCTAGACATCGGGGGCCTCGTCTCAGAGCCGCAGCGTCCGATTGAGCCGCCGCACAGCAAAATGTGAGTATCGGGGGGGGGCCCTGAGCCAGGATGGGGTAGCTCATGTAGAGTGCCCGACTTGGGACGGTTGATCCATTGGGGGGAGAGCGGGGCACCCCAAAAAGCACAGGAGACAACACTAGGCTCTCTGTGGCTCATCATATACCAAGCACGGTGCAGTCCCTCACCAATCGCAAACAGAACGGCTGCAGGAAAGAGCGGAGGTTCAAGACCTGATATCGCTGAGAAGCTGACCAGACCGTGGCCCATTCCAGTGGGGTGGAGTCAACCTTGGTCTCTTTAAGCCAGGGTCTTGTACGGATGACTCTCAGTCCTTTCTCACATCCCAGGGTTGCAATTCAAGAAAGGAGAGAGAGAGAGAGAGAGATTAGATAGATATAGATTAGATAGATAGATAGATAGATAGATAGATAGATAGATAGATAGATAGATAGATAGATAGATAGATAGATATAGATTAGATAGATAGATTTATAGGTAGATAGATTAGATAGATATAGATTAGATAGATAGATAGATTTATAGATAGATAGATTTATAGATTAGATAGATAGATTAGATAGATAGATAGATAGATAGATAGATAGATAGATAGATAGATAGATAGATAGATAGATAGATATAGATTAGATAGATAGATTTATAGGTAGATTAGATAGATATAGATTAGATAGATAGATTTATAGATAGATAGATTTATAGATTAAATAGATAGATTAGATAGATAGATAGATAGATAGATAGATAGATAGATAGATAGATAG